CGGTACTTTTCTGTCGTCCGCGCAGCGAGTTCATTCTCGCAGCGCGCGAGTTCGTCCTTGCATCTCCGCGAGGCGCGCTCCCGCCAGCGCGCGTGCGCTTTCTGCAGGGACGAGACCAGCGGCGTGCGGTCCGACGGCGACAAGCGGTGCGTGGCAAAGTACTCCCTCAGGTAGCGGATGCGGCGCAGCTCCTTGCGGACGAGCTCCTGGTCCGGCGCGGAGAAGCTGTCGTACAGCTCCCTGCGGCGCGAGAACCGCGCTGCCAGAAAGGCGGCCCAAATGTCGGTCGCGGGCACGGGGTCGGCGTACTGGTCTTCCACATTGTATGGCTGCATCTGACTGACTGACAGCTATTGTTGTCGTTGTGTTGACATGAACCGTGCGCATGTGAAAAAGGGAGACGATCCGACGTTTGGCGGGCTCTTTTCTGATATCCGACGGCAAACGTGGGATTGGGGGGGTGGGATGCCGACAGATGGCGTGCGTCCTATTTGCCTTCCCACTTCCCAGCTGAACAAAAATCCGGGCGTTATCATTGGCGACAGAATATGGGGGATGGATGGAGGGATCCAACGTTGGGAAACGCCACCACGCTTCGAATTCACTAATCCCGCGTCAAGCAAAGGAACAAAAAACCCCGGCCACAACTGATCATATTTGGTTTGGCGGGGTTCTGGTTGCTCCTGCACGCACACGGGTTTGTCCGACCACTCCCCATTTGCTGGCGCCGAGTGCCACGTATTGAAGGCATGCAGGAGAAAATTGGATCGTCTTACCTGCTTTTGTCCGACTGCAGCATTTGCGGATTGGTTCATTGTGCATTCGCTAGAGTTGAGGGGGGGTTGGTCGGTAATAGTCTATCCCGTGTCCAGCGAGCCAAGACCAGCCACACCTTCCTCTTTGGCTGTCGAGCCTTTTGATTTTCTTTTCACACACCTTTTTTTCTGTTGTCGATTGAAATGCTGTGTTGAAGGGAAACGTATGGAGGTTCACATAAAGTCCCCCTTTGTACAGATTACAGAGTAACACATGTCTCCAGAACAGAAGCGAGGATCCGAGTTCTGTGCTCACAATTGAATCAGGGGGCATGTCTCAGTAAAGTTTGGTGATCCTGAAATTGATAATGCTTCCGTAGGTCAATGAAAATGCTTCATAGCCGTCCATCCCGGGTATACTATGCTGCTCATAAATAATGATTAATAAGAATGCTCAAAATGGATGTCGAATGACGCTTTCCCGATCCCACCCCCTCAACGCTTCTCTGCCCGAACCATGAGGTCGTGACCAATCCAGCCCACTACAGGGATCAGGGTCATCGGCTTCATTGGATCCAGCAGGGTGAAGTTGTACCGGCGGAGCAACTGGTGACATATTAGTTCTCTTACTTCAATCAAACGATAATAGGGGTCCGGAGTCTAACATACCTCGGCAATAACCTTGTTCAGCTGCATGCCAGCAATCTGGCGGCCAGCACACACAAACTGGCCCGAGCCAAACACCAGCTCGACTGTCTTGGTCATGGCCTGCAGCTTCAGGTCATCCTTGACCTCCAGCCAGCGCTCGGGTCGGAAAGACTCGGCATCCAGGCCCCAGAATGACTTCTGCCGGCACAGAGACCACATGGTGCTGCCGGTGGCGACGTTGGTGCCCCCGGGAAGGAAGACCCCATTGATGGTGTCGCCGCCGGGCGGCACAACCTTGTAGAACAGGCCAGTGGCGACAGGCGGGATGATGCGCAGTCCCTCCTTAATAACAGCCTGAAGATAAGGCAGACTGCGGGCCTCGCTGTCGCGAATTGGGGAGCTGATGAGACCGCTAGCAGCTGCGTCGTCGAGCTCGCGCTGCAGACGCTGGTAGGCCGTCGGGTTAGTGAGCAGGAATAGCAAGATGATGCGGATCGCGTGCGCTGTGGTATCAGTGCCGACAAAGCTAGGATGTGATGTTAGATTGTTGTCGCGAGAGATATACCAGACTGGGGACCTTACAATTGGAGAGTCAGCTCTTGTCGAAGCTCGTCAGCGGTCATGCCGTGATCAATGAACGACTGGAGCATATCCCGCTTGGGCTTGGCGCGGACATCAAGTCTGTCGTCAATGAATTTTCCGATATAGCTGTGGAAGACAATGGTGTTAGCAAACAACCTATATGACAATGAACAGGAAGAGCAACTCGTACCCCATGATGGCGCCGAAGCCAGCCTTGTCGCCATCTCTAGGGAGCAGATAGCGCAGAGGCCACTTGTGCGTAAGGAGAAAGACTTCAGGATAGACACCCAAGACGTGGATGAAGGGCAGAGTGGCATCGCTGATCTTGATGACATCGTTGAGGTCCTTGTCGGCGGCAAGGTAGCCAGGTGCGTTGCTGTACGCAAGCTCGCCAAGAGCATCAAACGAGTAGTAGTGCGCCTGGGTAGCCAAGTCGAGGGGACAGAACTCGGGGCCCGTTCCGAGGTACTTTCTATCGATCAGGTCAACCCAAGAAGCGATGGCCCTGTTGATGCCGTCCTCGAAGCCGTCATTGTCTCTGCCGCTGTACTAGATGGTGGCAATTGGTTTAATACTTGTGCGGGCACATCTGGAAGGGGAACCTATGAACTCACTCCTGGCATCATCTGACGCTTCCGCTTGTCGCGCAATTCCGGGTTCGAGATGCAGAGAAGGTGGTCTTTGCCAGGCGACACACGCCCAACCTTGTACCATTCGCCCTTGCGGTACTCGGATCGGACGGATGAGATCCGGAGCAGTGCCTCGAGATCATTGACGATGACTTCATTGGGAGCTATGCGAACAACCGGGCCTAGAGAAAGGATTGGGGTGTTAGATTCGAAACATGCGAGTACTTATTCCTTGAATTGAGCAAACATACCGTATTTCTCGGTTAGAGTCACGATGTCTTCGTGTACTGTCTTCCGCGCCGTTCGCCACGCAAACCAGAGCGTAGTGAATCCGGTGATCCGCGGCCCTGGGACATGGCGGAGGCGGTACCATTTCTTGATTCGGCTAGTAGCAGACCAAACGACAAGAACGCTGATAAAGAGGCCTAGCATAATGGCAGTGAACGAGTAGGGAAGGAGGCCTTCCTGGATGACAGTCATGACAGCCATGTTGGACGACTCAGCAGTGGGTAACACAGCGGATACTGGCTGCGGGTGGTGGGAACGGGGAGAGACGAGGGGAAGGCGGAGGTGGGCCGCTATATACGACGACATGGCGCGAGCCTGGGCTGCGACGTGGGCGAGAAGGGCCATCGCATCAGCAGTAGCCCAGTAGCGTATTCACGGAGGTCACCTCGTCAACAAGCGAGAGTCCCGAGCAGCCAGTCAGGGGGGAGCGGGGAACAAACCAAGCTGCCGGTAAAGGTGTTGGTGGTGGGATTGTGCGAAGAGGTTGTGTGTGCATGTGTGTGTGTGGCGAAGTTGGGTGGTGTATTTCCCTCCGCCATGGAGCTAATTCGGTTTGGCCCGATGGAAGTCCAGAGACAATTGGACAGTGCCGGTAGCACTGGTGGTGCAGTCCACCATCGCGCCTTCCAGTGAAGTGACAAGTGACAGAAGAAACCCTCAGGTGGGCGCCGCGCGTGAGGTGAATGTTCTGAGGGTGCCCCGCCTCGCTGTCTGATTCGCACTCATCATCAGACGAACATGACAGAGTGTCAATGTCGTGCAGCCGCCGTGTTATATGTTATCTCACCTTTGAGACAGACCTGCCTGACCGAGCGAATAGAACCTCCTAAGTCCCGCAGATCTTGTCTTGCCAGCACTTGGGCCCAGCTTATTACCTGCACCTCTCTTTTCTGGGAATTGCGCGTCGGGGTTCTGCTTATCTAGTGCTCGCTGTTTCTTGCGCCTGCTCCTCTTTGGAACTGGCACGTATGTGGCCAAGACGCACCGGGTGCCAACATTCGTTAGACCCAGTGCCATCCCGTGCATGCTCTGCGCGACCCGCACCCACCACTTCGGAACATGGCCCGTGTCTGGCGCAAGTTCAGACGAGAGCCCTGGCTTTGGGAGTGGGGAAGGTGGTTCTGGTGTTGGTTTTCTTGGGAATAATTTCTCATGGTATCGGCGACTGCCCAGGGGTGCTGCTGCAGCCATGTCCCCGCTGATGCCGCGTTCTATTGGAAATCAGAGCGATGGGTGTTCGTGCATGGATGTAATCAGGAATTGAATCCAAGCTCGGAACACGTGCATGAGGAGTCCAGGGATCTCCTGACAATGACCGAATATGACACCTTCCCTTCCTTCTGGTTTCCTTCGCGGTCGAGGCAAGTGCTTTGGACGTGATGACTTCCTCTTTTCTCATAAAGTGTACAAGGTCGTCGCTGCCATCCTTGGAGCGACGTCCACCGTTCGTCGAGCTTATGTCCTCCCTCTGAAAGCCACTGACCACCCCTCTGTAATAAAAACCTCCCATGCTTACCATGGCGTTTGCGCGCGCAACAAAAACCGCCCTCCAGCGCCAAAAGCTCCATCTTCCCAGGGCCCTTGTTCATGACGGCCCGAACCGTACCATTGCCCGTTATTGAACCACCCGATGGACAGGTGGCACCAATAGCGGTCTATGCTAACCGTCATCAAACGCCTCCATCAAACCATGTCTCCACATGGTAGTGAGGGGTTCGTCGAAGCCATTTCCAGGGGGCCGCTTCGTGATAATTAGGACGGAGGGTTAAGGTGAAGGGTTCCTGATCGGCCGACGGGCGGTTGCCTCGCACTTCTCGCAGGGGCAAGCGCCAAACAGAATGACGGAAGCCGCCCCAGCGCTAGCCAGACAGGGCCAACAGCAGGGAGGATTTGCGGGGTCCCAGTAACCCGTGAGGAGATTCGGCGTCAGGGCGGCCGAAAAGATTATTACCCTAATCCACTGATCCCCCCACCGCAAGAGTGGATTTAAGACACGTTTTCCGAACTCTCCGGAAGTCCGCAAACTCCCTGGCTCCTCATATGCTCCATTTCCAAGTCATGAACTCCATCAAACAAAGCGTGATAATGAAACCAAAAAGCCCGTATAGCTCAGTGGTAGAGCGCATCACTCGTACTACTGCATCCTGTCTAATTGGATAGGATCCGCACAATCTGCGACATGATGAGGTCCGCGGTTCAAATCCGCGTGGGGGCATGTCATCACTTCGAGCTTCTAGTTTTGCACATTGACATTTCTTACCTAGAATTATTTTCATATGATCTATCATTTGGTGACCTTGTTGAATTGGAAACTTTCCTTTGTTCTTTTTCTATTTTTCTTTTTGAAATTTCTGATTCCAGATAAACCTGAAGATCTCGGCAATCCTGCGCAGATCTGATTCTGACCACCCTCTTCTGTCGCTTGATCCAGTCAGTACAGATGGGGTTGCACAAACACAGTGCCCCTCTCTGTTGGCTATCCTCTTATGTATTCCTTCTCATCAGAACCCAATGTCTTGCGACAGAATGTCTGGCATGGCCACACCGCAGTTGAAATTCGGCCGACACAGGGTCATGGAGTGGATGGCGCGAATGGTACCGTTGACGATGCGGAACTCGTGGCTGTCCGGACCGAGAATGCCAAAGTTGCTGATCACGTCGACCGTGCCGAGCGTCTCGTCGATGACATAGCGGCGGTCGACAGTATGGATGGTGACGTCCGGGATGTCGGTGTTGCAGTCTCCGTCGGCGTCGAGATAGCCGCCCTCGAGACGCGTGCACGGCGTGCCCCAGGGAACTTTGACCGTCTTGTCGACGAATACATCGTAGTACGCATCGGCAGCGGCCTGCAGCGCCGCACGCGAGTCCTGTTTCTCCGTCGAGATGGGGCTCCAGTCCTCGCGCAGCGCGTAGTGCAGCGCGTGGCTGGCGTTGAAGTAGAAGTCTCCCGTGGTCGTGACGATGCCGTCCAGCTTGGTGATCTTGCTTGAAGAGGGGTCGAAGCGGAGCTGCATCGCGATCGTGTAAGGTTTTCGCGCGTCCGTCGCGATCAGCTCAGTGTATGTGGCGCATTGTGTCGTGTCGATAGACGTGCGGCTGTAGTCGACTCGGAGGGACTGGCTCAGCGTGCTGTTCGTGATGTCAAGTTTGACGAGATTCTCCCAGTAGGTCGCATTGGTGGCGAGGGCGCTCTGAAGCCATCCCACTTGCCCGGTACTCTGCGCGATGAGGTAGCGGTTCGTCGCCGCCCTGAGGGTCTCTCGGTCACAGACCGTCGCACAGTTTCCCGTCGCGACAACAACGCCAAGCGTCACCCATGTTGAGATACGACTACTTAGCGGCATGGTGAAGCTAAGACTATCAGTGGATTCTTGAACTGAACTAGAAGAACACATGAGACGGTAGCGAAGCACTTAGCATGAATCCCCATTTTCTAGTCGCCGAGAGTCTGGTTCATTACGAAAGAAGGAGCTTGTGTTCCAGCCGAGGGCAACATTGACCCGTGAGCCCGCCACTCTATCGTATGCACGACATTTCCCGGCAAAAGACTCCACGGCAGGCATTGGACGCGACCCCTCTCTTACCGGCTGGTTGGTTTGGATCCTGCCGGTGGCAATCTGCACTTCCCCATTTTCATTACTTTTTTCTCATGCTCCATGGTTGCAATGCCAGTGGGCTATTGATGCTGGTTCCGTGGGCGCGACATGGCGTCAAAACGCCAAATGCAACCTGCCAAACCAAAACATCAACACTCTCCTGCCACTCCACAGACAACCAACTACGCGACCGCCAATCCATGTAGCCAACTATAATGATGCGTCTTTCTTCTTCGCGTCCCAAGCAAAAGCCAGAGAAAGCAATTGAAAAAAAGAAAAGGGTTTGCGTCGCCAGGAAGAAGTGTAATACCAAGGACACAGTGGAAGCGGACCATAGGCAAGCCCAGAGGCGTCCGCTTCCCGTTTCCAAAAAGTGGAGGAATCAAGATTGTTGTCCGTAGAAAACGCTCAGAGATTAAACTAAGCAGAACAGTTATTACTACACTTGATCAAAGCCAAAATGGCAAAGAGAAGTGAAGAAGCAAAAGAAGAAGGTTCAGAATTCACCCTAACTGGTCCGTGCACGGTGACAGTTTTGTGTGGCCCGTGCACCGCCATATTCAGGGTTAGGGTTCTGGGGAGGGCCCAGCAAGTTACCACCTAAGCAACCGACACACTGCATAGATAGCCGTGCAGACATCGTATAGAGGCATTGCAAGCATGAAGCATACCCCAGAATAATTACTTAGCGAGTTCTAATCCCGAATTCGTAGCCATTTGTTTAAAATCGCTCCTTCGGTTGCAGATAAAGCAGCGAGAAACAGCGATGACCCCTGGCTGGGCAGGCGGGCTACAGTCAGCAAGACGTCCAGCAATCGGGTGAACAATGAACCCTGGACAAACAGGTGGGGCTGAGTAAGCCCAGCATCTCGACATCTCCGTCATGTCTCCGAACTTTAAAGATCTCATCCATCCGTCATGTTGTTTTCTGATGAATTTGGAGAGCCAAAAACCACACGAAATCGATCTCGGGATGCCATTTCTCAAGAAGCTCTATCCGAGGGCCCACGACAATCGCCTGCCGAAAAATGACCCAGTCGTGAAAAAGGCACGCAGGGCCTTCTTCACGTCAGCTGGCATCAACTTTCTCTATCTCCAAGTCCTTTTTCTCGGCCTCTTCTGCTACATATTTGGCGCCCTGTTTCAGCAGGGGACACATACTCACAATCTCCGAGTCGCGTTCGTCGACTACGATGGAGGCGCGATTGGCCGCGCGGTCCGAGCAGCTTACGCATCCCTCCAAGGAGACAGCTTTCCGTCTTTGGTCGAGCGATCGCCCTTGGAGTTACAAACCACTGACGATGTCCTGCGAGCAGTCTGCGAGACCAAATACTGGGCAGCCGTCTACGTGACCCAAGGCGCATCGAGGAGGTTGGAGGAGGCACTGGCGGCGGAGAGCGTGGCGACGGCATACGATAAAACCGATGTGCTAGCATACGTTTGGAACGAGGCGCTGTATGCACCCATCATCGATGCTGCGATATCGTCAAACATGCAACTCCTCTCCGGTGCGGCGAGGATAGCATACAGCGCGGTGAACGGAACAGGCAACATTCGCTCGGTTTCGGGGCCTGCTGCGCTGTCCGTCCTCGCCGACCCTTGGACGCTCCAGTCTGTCAATATCCAGCCTACATCACAGGGATCGAGAGCCATCTACAACACCGTTGTCATTATCCTGATTCTCATCCAAGAGTTCTTCTACCTGGGTACCATCAACGGCCTCTACGCCCAGTTCAAGCTCTACGCGCGCGTCAACCCGACCCGCATCATCGTTGTCCGAATCCTGACGTCCCTGACATACACCTTCATCGGCTCGCTCTGCGTCATCGGCACCATCTGGGCGTTCAAGTCGGGTTGGGACATCAACGGCAACCAGTTTGTGCTGTCATGGATGACCTTTTGGCTCTTCGCCCATACAAACTTCCTTATCTTCGACGTCTTCACCATCTGGCTACCGCCTCCATTTGTCCCGATGGCTCTGGTCTCCTGGATCATCTTCAGCGTGACCTCGATACTGCTACCCTTCGACCTCAGCCCCGCCTTCTATCGCCTCGGGTACATGCTCCCAGCGCACGAGGTCTACCAAGTCCTCACAGATATCTGGTCACACGGCTGCAACCCTCAACTCCACTATGCGCTACCCGTCCTCTTCGCCTGGGAAGTCGTGAGTCTAATGCTCAGCATCCTCGGCGTGTACCGCAGATCCCACTATGCAACTTTGGGCGAAGAGCGACAGGCGAAGGAGCTGCAAGAGCGTATCGATGCCGCAGTGGCATTTGAACGGGACAAAGAGACAAAGCATTCTGCGGCGCATCCCGAGCCGGAGAAGAGACTCAAGAAGTTTGAGAGTACAGGAGATGAGCCCAGCGAGCCACAGTCTGATACGGATAATATCACGGGGGCGGAGGATGAGGAGGCGTATCGCGAGGAACTGGCTCAGGTCATTTCCCGGGTCACGACCAGGCAGAGACGAGATAAGGGGAGGGCGGATGAGACTTGCAACTTTGGGCCGTCGTTTAATCTGCCATATGGCAAGGACAACGAAGACGGAGAGTAGGGGAACTTAGAGCGTCAACTGACCCTCCCAGTTGGCCCAGATCAAGCTGGCAGGCGGGAAGAACAAAAACTTGTATGTATAAGCTCATAATTGGCATTATTGGATAACGAAAAGTCATATTCTCCTCCAGCTATAACAGTTCAGATAATAGACCCTCTCATCAAGTTTCACCTCGGGAACTTCCAGCGGATGGAAGGAAAAGTGGGGGAAACCGCTTTACACACTGACGAGAGTCACCATCCATGATTATCATTGCACTCCTGCCGTCATGTCGATTTGAGTATCTCCGTCAGACTAGTCGTATTCCTTCCCAAACTTACAAATGATCATTTAGAGATGGCTGGCGAGAAATTTGGCTGTTGTCGTCCTTCTTGTCTTTGATGTTACGACCCGTGGTCTGTCGGAAGACTGAATAATTGGGTCAGAGAAGTTGAATTTGGAACTTCGGCTTATAAACTTGCTCGTCCCTTTGGTCACATGCCGTCTCGCAACGGCTCGGACTTAATGCAAACCAGGTCGACCTGAAGCCTTAAAAGTCCAAAGCGGGGCAGTCAAGTCCCTTCACTTCCACACAAAATATTTCCCCGCAGGAGGAGAAACCTCATCTGATGCCCAAAACCAGCTCATTGCCTTCTCAATGAGCATCAGCAGGACCTACTGTTGCAATATCAAGCCGTTGCAGAATTTTGCTTACATGTAAAATATACGAAAAGCATCTTGGCGGTGCGCAAGTATGCGGCCGTTTCCCCTCGCTGAACTCAAAAGTTTTGAAGTCATAAGTAATAGACGACCGCCTCAACAACAGTTCTTACAATCTGCAGATGCACTGCACTCCAAGTCTAGTGCTGACAAATCATCGCCGATATCGTCGTCCAAACTCACTATAATACAGCTTTCGACCGCCCTACCGAAACCATGATCCCATCATTCCTTCCCCGTGTTGTATCTCTCCTCTTTCTCATCACTTCGTCGTCCGGGCAAAATATGTCAACACAAAAGGCAGCACACGCCGGAGAGCGAACGACGTCGCTCGGGATTGTAAGTTCAAACTCTTCACCTCTC